GATTTGTTTTGACTGCAAACACACTTTTCAATCACTCACCTTAAGTTTTCAACTGCCAAGATAGCACTACTATCACTTGATGGCAGCACACCCAAATTCTTATGGGATTGGAGTAGTGGGGAGATGATTTGATAAATCTAAAATTATTAGGTAATAGTAACAGTCAAAATTTAAATTTTGTATGCTTCTGAAAGTTGATGTCATGCAACTGCACTTGGAAAAGATGATATGATGCTTAATTTTAGATTCATTTGTATAGTTTCAATAGATTCCATAGTTAAAACTTATACATTATAGATATAAGACTATATAGCTATATAGGCAAGGTAGACTCAGACAATTTATTCTAAAATAATAAGAACACTAACGCCTTTCTGGCTAACTTCACAAGGGTACAACTTGACAGTTCTTGGCTTTATGTCCACAATGTGAATGCATTCTTGTTTCCTACCCAGGGATTCCACTGTTGACCTTGAGGCATGAGACACAATAAAAACCCACAGTAACCATGTAGACAACTCAGAGATGCAAGGCAGAGATCTTAATACCCAGGGGAGAGAACTCCTCACCAATGCGAGATGGGAGCTGGTGGATGTATTCTTCTTCTTTCCTCCCCCAGTGGACTGAGAACTACCTTCATCTCCATGCAACTGCCTTTGTTTCTGCTTTCAATGTCTTTATTGTCTACCTTCACTACTTTTTCAGCTGGCAAAGAGGTTCCTCCACCATCATCTCTTAAGCCACAGCTTTCACCCCTTTCCCTGTTGCTGCTGCCCCTGCCTGCTCCTTATTCACTACCTTCCATCCCCCACCCTTCTCTTGCCCCTACTCTGGCACTGAGAAAGCTATCACTTTGTCTTTTTACCCCAGTCTCAAAGCCCTCACTGTGCTCAGGAACCCTGATCTACTTAGATGATAACAAAAATATTTTCTTATTTTTAAAATGTTTTAAAGTTTTTTTTTGGAGACAGGGTCTTGCTCTGTCACCCAGAATAGAGTGCAATAGAAGGGTGCAGAGAAGGGTGGGGGATGGAAGGTAGTGAATAAGGAGAAGGGAGGGGCAGCAGCAACAGGGAAAGGGGTGAAAGTTGTGGCTTAAGAAATGATGGCGGAGGAACCTCTTTGCCAGCTGAAAAAGTAGGGAAGTGCTCATTGCAACTTTGAATTCCTGGGCTCAGGTGATCTTCCTGGCTCAGCCTCCTGAGTTGGAACAACAGGAGCGTGCCACCATGCCCTGCTAATTTTTATTTTTTAATTTTTTTGAAACAAGGTCTCACTCTGTTGCCCAGGCTGGAGTACAGTGGCGTGATCGTGGCTCATCGCAGCCTTGACTTTCCCAGCTCAAGTGATCCTTCTGCCTTAGCCACCCCCAGCAGCTTGGACTACAGGCATATGCTACCACACCTGGCTAAATTTTGTATTTTGTGTAGAGACAGGGTTTTGCCATGTTGCCCAGGCTGGTCTTGAACTCCTGGCTCAAGTGATCCACCTGCCACAGCTTCCCAAAGTGATGAGATAGCAAGCAAAAGCCACTGCGCCCAGCTTCTTCTAACTTTTTTTAAATTTTATTTTGTAGAAACAGGGTCTTACTATGTTGACCACGCTGATCTTGAACTTCTGGCCTCAAGAGATCTTCCCTCGGCCTCTCAAAGCTCTGGGATTACAGCTGTGAACCATCACACCTGGCCTTGTTTTCTTTTTAACATAGAGGACTCCATATAAAAGTGCTTTAATCCCAGATGAGTCACTAAAAAAGGAATACAGTCATGGTAATTTAGAGTGAGAAAAAACTTAGAGATTATCTAGTTATCAAACTCCCTTGCTTTATAGATGAAGAAATTGAGATTCAAGAGATAAATGACATGCACATGTTTATATGGTGTTCCTATTGGTATATCTATTACTGTATAACAAATTACCCTAAAACATAATGGCTTAAAACAACAACTTTATTATACCTAAACATTTGACAGGTTAGTAATTAGGACAGATATCAGCTGGGTGGTTGTTTTCCATGTGGTTGACTGAGGCCACCTGGTGGTATTTAGCAGGCAGATGACTGCCTGGAGGGTTCAAGATCGGTTCACCCACGTCTCATATTTAGGGTGGATAGACCAGAAGGCTGGGCTCAGTTGAGACTTAATCAGAGCACCTGCAGGTGACTTCTGTTTCATGATGGTCTCAGGGTAGTTTGACTTTGTACCTGACAGTTCAGGACTCCCAGAGACAGTGTTCCAAAATACTAAAAATAGAAGCTGCCAATTTGTGAAGTTCTCAGATCAGATAAGATCAATCAGAGAGAGTAGGAGTAAAACTGAACAATCAGAAATCTTCAATAAATATTGAATTGAATCTAACAGAGTTTTTTAATACTGATTTTCATGAAACTCTGACTTTTCCATTAATAGTAATCAGAGTCTGAATCACACTGAAGTCCTGAAAGAGAGGAGATAGATATTATTCTGGATGCCACCATTATTGTCATTTGCATGTCTGTCTCTGTTACTTTTTTATTTTAATTTTTTTAGAGACAGGAGGGTCTTGCTATGTCACACAGGCTAAAGTGTGGTGACCATTCACAGGCATGATCATTGCACACTACAGCCTTTAACTCCTGGGCGCAAGTGATTCTCCTGCCTCAGTCTTGGCACCATAATGACCTTGATCAAATTAATTAATTTTATTTGAGACAAGTTTTCACTCTGTTGTTCAGGGTGGAGTGCAGTGGTGTGATCATGGATCAGTGGTGTGCTGCAGCCTTGACCTCTCCAGGCTCAAGGGATCTTCCCACCTCAGCCTCCCTAGTATCTGTGACTATAGGCACGTACCACCATGCCCGGATAATTTATTTTTGTATGTTTTGTAGAGACAAGGTCTTGCTATGCTGCCCAGGCTGCTCTCAAATTCCTGGGCTCAATTGATCCACCGCCTTGGCCTCCCAAAGTGTTAGGATTACAGATGTGAGCCATCATGCCCAGCCAATCAAAATAATTTCTGATCCTTAGTGCCTATTTGAAAAATAGGGATAATAACAGGGTTGTTAGGCAAATGAAAATAGATAATACATGCAAAGTAATATAATGTTGACTATTATTATTTCAATCTTCTCTCCATCTAACCATTTTTCAACTTTGTACCATTCATTGCTCTTGTTGCACGTTGTGCTTACTGTTACATTTGCCACTCTAGCTTGTAATTTTCTTCCTACTCCCTTGAAGGTAAGAACAGGATCTTATTTATAGTGATATTCCCAGTGTCTGGCATGTAGAAGATGTTTGTTAGAGAATAAACTTTTTGGCCAGGCAAGTGGTTCACACCTGTAATCCTAACACTTAGGGAGGCCAAGGTGTGCAGATTGCTTAAGCTCAGGAGTTTGAGACCAGCTGGGCCAACATGGCGAAAACCCATCTCTACAAAAAAAATTAGCTGGGTGTAATAGCTTGCACCTGTGGTCCCAGCTACATGGGTGTGCTGATGCAGGAGGATTACTTGAGCCCAGGAGGTGAAGGCTTCAGTGAGCTGTGTTTGTGCCACTGCACTCCAGCCTGGGTGACAAAGTGAGACTCCATTTCAAAACAAACAAACAAGAAATAAAGTTTCAGCAAATTAAATTTCAAAGCTCTGATTGAGCTATTAGTGACTTATGAACTGAGCAGCAGCTAATCTACAAAATAAAAAGGAGCTCTGATGAGCTAAACAGAATGGGTGAGTTTTATAGGCAGAAAAAAGCAGAAGTAAAGAGAAACAAAAAACAAATAGATTGACCATTTCAGGGTTAATTTCCTTACAGGGATAAGGAAATCTTCTTGGCCTAATGGGATTTGGCTATTATCTCTTAGGTTTTGGTTTGGTAACGTGAAACTTTAGCATGAGTGATTCCATTTTGGACCTGCTATATATTTTTTTTAATATAAATGAATGTTGAGGAAATGAAGACTTTTTTTTGGCTATTCTAACCCTAACTAATATTCTCTCTTTTGAATGCATATAATAATTATAGTATTCACTACACAATCTAGCATTAATTATTTAATGTCTCAGGCCGGGCACGGTGGCTCACGCTTGTAATCCCAGCACTTTGGGAGGCCGAGGCAGGTGGATCACGAGGTCGAGAGATCGAGACCATCCTGGTCAACATGGTGAAACCCTGTCTCTACTAAAAATAAAAAAAATTAGCTGGGCATGGTGGCACGTGCCTGTAATCCCAGCTACTCAGGAGGCTGAGGCAGAATTGCCTGAACCCAGGAGGCGGAGGTTGCGGTGAGCCGAGATCGCGCCATTGCACTCCAGCTTGGGTAACGAGCGAAACTCCGTCTCAAAAAAATAAAAATAAAAATAAAAAATAAAAAACAAAAAGCAAAACCAAAAAAATATTATTTAATGTCTCTTATTGCTTCATGCATTGTATTTCTTCAATTAGATTAGATATTCCTTGAGGGTACACAGTAATCTAATAAATACATGTTAAATTATAGAAAAATATACAGTAGGCACTTAACAAATTATTGTTAAATGAATAAGTGAAACACTTTACCTCTTGCCTTTCCATTAATGACCTGTCTATTAATATTTCTAGGATCTTAGTTGTTAGAAGAAAAATAGGAAAGGATATTTTGAGTTTTGCTCCAGTGGATGGTGGTATATAAGTATCCTCTGTCACAAATTCACTTAATTACTTTGGAAAGTTATTTATAAGGTTATGGGAATCACTGTCATATTTATAATGTGCTACCACTTGGCAACCAATTACATAACTTCCTATGTTTCACTTATACTTTCTCAAATCTTTTTGATATTAATTGCATGGCACACTTAAAGAGAAAGCTTATTTAAAGTAGCAAAAAGATATTCTCCCATTTCAATGAAGCAAAAAGATTTGTCATGACTCAAAGTACAATGAAATATAGTTTATAGGCTGAGGTTGTATCATTGATAAGAATTTTGCTTTACCTTGCTATGAAGATTTTCTATGATAAATGCTCCAAAATTTTTTTTTCTTAGCCCTGCCTAAGCAGGACATAAAAATTTGATTATAAACTCATAACTGTTCCTCTCTATGGAAATCTTTAGTAAAAGGCGAAAGATTTGTTCATTGTGAAGAGAAACCAGAGCATCCAAAAGTTTTAATATTGCTGATCTTGAAAGGTCTGGCCACTGGTGGCAATGGAGCCTGGGTGAGCTGGAGGTGCCTGGGGTATGGGGCAGTTGGGCCTTCTGGTCTTGCAAAGGCCAGGAGTAGTGGTTCACGCCTGTAATCCCAGTACTTTGGGAGGCTGAGGCGGGCAGATCACCTGAGGTCAGGAGTTCGAGACCAGCCTGATGAATATGGTGAAACCCCACCTTTAAGAAAAGAAAGAAAGAAAGAAAGAAAGGTATCATGTGAGTAGTGGTCTTTAATCACTGACACTTGCCATAGCTCACATTAAGTGTGATTTGAGGATTGAGCCTTCCAGGGAGGAAGTGAGCTGAGAAACAGTTCCTAACACCTGGAAGCATCTGTACCTAAATCTTTTCAGGACTCCAGAGACCCCATAGGGATTTTCTCCACTAACTCAATTTCTGGAGCATCTAGATCCTGTCAATGTCTTGTATATTATGGTCACCACCGAATGTATACATTTTTGTTTTAAAAAGATGGCTGGGCACAGTGGCTCATGCCTATAATCTCAGAGCTTTGGGAGGCTGAGGTGGGAAGATGGCTTGACCCCAGGAGTTTAAGGTTAGAGTGAGCTATGATTGCACCATAGCACCCTAGCCCAGGCAATAGCTCAAGAACCTGTCTTTAAAGAAAAAGAGAAAAGTTTTATGGGCTGTTCAGATACCAAAGAATTTTTTTGGATAATTTTTAAAATTTTATGTAGGGTTAATTTGAGGATGCAGAAAGCATTCATCACTCCCAGAGGGGTTTCCACCTTTAGATAAGGCTGGAAAAAGAATAAAACCTCTGGGCTGGGCACCATGGTTCATGCCTATAATCCAAGCACTTTGAGAAGCCAAAGCAGGTGGATGGCTTGAACACAGGGGTTAGAGACCAGCCTGGGCAAAATGGAAAAATCTTGTCTCTACTAAAAATACAAAAAAAATTAGCCAGATGTGGTGGTATCTGCCTGTGGTCCCAGCTACTTGAGAGGCTGAGGTGGGAGGATCACCTGAGCTTGGGAAATTGAGGCTACAGTGAGCCGAGATTGTGCAACTGCACTCCAGCTTAGGCAACCAGAGTGAGATCCTGTCAAAAAAAAAAAAAAAAAGGAGGAGGAGGAGGAAGCAGCAGCAGCAGCAGAAGAAGCAGAAGAAGGAGGAGGAAAAAAAAGAAGAAGAAAAGAAACTCTGGAGTCAGATTTATCCTAGACAATTTTTTTTTTTTTTTTTTTTGGAGACAGAGTTTCGCTCTTGTTACCTAGGCTGGAGTGCAATGGAGCGATCTCGGCTCACCGCAACTTCTGCCTCCTGGGTTCAGGCAATTCTCCTGCCTCAGCCTCCTGAGTAGCTGGGATTACAGGCACGCGCCACCATGCCCAGCTAATTTTTTGTATTTTTAGTAGAGACAGGGTTTCACCATGTTGACCAGGATGGTCTTGATCTCTTGACCTCGTGATCCACCTGCCTCGGCCTCCCAAAGTGCTGGGATTATAGGCTTCAGCCACCGCGCCCGGCTTATCCTAGACAATTTTAATTCCAGTTTTGCCACTGTGCTGGTCATTATCTTTGTCCTTCCAGGTTGATTCTCTGTCCTTTCTTTGCCCTGGTCTGTGTCCAGGCAAGGCCTGCTTCTCTGGTCTCTATTACCCCAGCTCACTTGCCCTCTGGCTTCTGGTTGGGTCAGGCCACCATAATGGCACCTTATAAGGTTACTGTATGGAGATCAGAGGGCACCAGGAAAGAAAGGTCAGAGTATTTATTGTACACTTCACCCCCATAGTCATATCCACTGCTAGAGTGACCAGCTTGGCCCAGCTTGCCCAGACTTTCCTAATTTTAGCACTGAAAGTACTACACCCAGGATGGTTGGTTGGTCTCCTAATCTATTGGCCTTCTCTTCCAAGTTTCCAGCTTTAGCTGCAGATAAAACCTCCCTCTCCTCATCTCATTTTTTTACCTTTTCATCATCTCTCAACCCGCTTCTGTCTCTACCAACATGATCCCACCATCCAGTTGGTTTATCTACCTTTTCATCTATTTTACTATTAATGTCTACATTGATGATTCCCAAATATACATCTATAGCACTCCCCTGCCCTCATATTTGGAGTGCTAACATTTATTGAAGGCTTATTCTGTGACAGAAACAGTTGCAAAGATTTTATAAGCATTATCTTATTTAATCTTCAGAATGAGCTTGTAAGGGAAGTAATATTATTATATCTATTTTAGTAGATGAGGAAACCAGACGTTTAAAAGGCTAGTCACCGGTGGATTAGCCAATTTTCAGACTCTGCCCTACGTGACTTCAGAGCTCCTACCCCTCAGGGAGATCCTGCCTGAGCATCCTTTATGTTCTTCCTCCTTCTCCAGTTCTAGTTTCCCTGATAACCTTCACCTCTGCCTGAAGTTTTATGTACATCTATTTGTCTGTTGTTGTTCCAAGAGGACAGGCACTTTGTTTCCCTTGTCTCTGTATACCACTATCTAGAATTGTTCTTCTTAAACTGGAGCATACATCAGAATAATCTGAAAGGCTGGTAAAAACACAGATTGCTGGGCCCCACCCCCAAAGTTTCTTTTTTTCTTTCTTTCTTTTTTTTTTGTTTTTTTGAGATGGAGTCTCACTCTCTCAGGCTGGAATGCAGTGGCATGACCTTAGCTCACTGCAAACTCTGTCTCCCAGGTTCAAGCAATTCTCATGCCTCAGTTTCCTGAGTAGCTGAGACTACAGGCATGTGCCACCACACCCAGCTAATTTTTGTATTTTTATTAGAGATGGGGTTGCACTATGTTGGCCAGGCTGGTCTCAAATAACCTGCCAGCCTTGGCCTCCCAAAATGCTGGGATTACAGCTGCAGCCACAGTGCCTGGCCAGAGAGTGCAATGGTACTATGTGTCTGGAAGAGAGGGGAACCAGAATACTTGTGAACAACCCTAAGGATGATCACAAAAATATATACAACAATAAAGGGTACAGTTTACTCTGACCAGAGTTCACTTTGCTTTATACTTCTGAAGGACCACAATTACAGCAGGTATTTTTTTTTGAGGCAGTCTTGCTGTCACCCAGGCTGGAGTGCTGCAGCAGCCTAGATTTCCTGGGCTCAAGTGATCCTACCACCTCAGCCTCCTGAATAGCTGGGACTACAGGGAGGTGCCCAGCTAATTTTTAAATTTTTTGTAGCGGCAGGGTCTTACTCTGTTACCCAGACTGCAGACTGGTCTTGAACTCCCCAGCTCAAGTGATCCTCCTAACTTGGCCTTCTAAAGAACTGGGATTACAGGTGTGAGCTGCTGGTGCCTGGCCAACACGGTATTCTTCATGTTTCACTGTGACTCCCTGAGTGTCCTTAAATCGCTGAACACTTGGTTTTCTTAAATATTTGCTTACACCTTTGCACTCACACGTTTGCATAGAAAAATAAACTTTTTTTTGGATAGAGGCATAATTGACTTCTCCAATGTATAAGGATTAGAATACTTTTGTGTAGCCAGAGCCTAAAAGACCAGTAAATGGCAATTACAGGAAGGCAAATTATACATCTACATAAGGAAAAATTTTCAAATTATTAGAGTTTCTGAGGTGGAAATGAATGCCTTTGGAGTACTGAGTCACTGAAGATTTTGAAGTTGAGGCTTGGTGTCCACTTTACAGAAACGTTGAGGAAAACTTAGACCAAATGTTCTCCAAAACAGATGTTCTATAATTAGGCATAGCTGCACAGCAAATATATCTGTTTGTGTAATAACTTTAGCAATTTTTGGACTGCATCGACATTTTAATATTTTATATATTTACCTTAATGCCACATTCCTGAATGGGAATGCATCTACTTTTTTTGAGTCAAAATTTTCCTCAGCCAACGTATGAAGGTCATTTAAGGTAATTTTCTTTTTTGAAAGGAAGTTTTGCTCTTGTTGCCCAGGCTGGAGTGCAATGGCGCCATCTCGGCTCACTGCAACCTCTGCTTCCTGGGTTCAAGCAAATCTCCTGCTTCAGCCTCCTGACTAGCTGGGATTACAGGCATGCACCACCATGCCCGGCTAATTTTGTATTTTTAGTAGAGAGGGGCTTTCTCCATGTTGATCTGGCTGGTCTCAAACTCCCAACCTCAGGTGATCCACCCACCTCAGCTTCCCAAAGTGCTGAGATTACAGGCGTGAGTCACCGTGCCCTTGTAGGTAAGTGGGTACAATGAGGGTCCAGTAAGAAGACAGACTTAAAAGATTAGAACTATTATTCAGGAGAAGCAGAGAAGTGGAAGGGTATGACCACAATATTTAAAGTATTGAGTGGTGCTGGATAAAATGAATATACTTATTTGCCATATTCTGAGATCATAGGTTGGGTGAACCCCTTTTGAAATATGAGCCAAGTGAGCTTAAACCACAAGAGGTACTTTTTCAGAGGCAGAAAAAATACGGTGTTCACTATCCCTGTGACATAAGATGGGACAAAAACATGAAATGGTTTTAAAAATATTTTGACGAAATTATAAAGGTTCTACACGTGGCTACTAAGAGGAGCTGGGTTTTATCTAGGTGTAAGTTTTTTTTTTTTTTTTTTTTTGAGACGGAGTTTCGCTCTTATTACCCAGGCTGGAGTGCAATGGCGCGATCTCGGCTCACCGCAACCTCCGCCTCCTGGGTTCAGGCAATTCTCCTGCCTCAGCCTCCTGAGTAGCTGGGATTACAGGCACGTGCCACCATGCCCAGCTAATTTTTTGTATTATTAGTAGAGATGGGGTTTCACCATGTTGACCAGGATGGTCTCGATCTCTCGACCTAGTGATCCACCCGCCTCGGCCTCCCAAAGTGCTGGGATTACAGGCTTGAGCCACCGCGCTCGGCCCCTAGGTGTAAGTTAAAGAGACAAGCATACAATTTCACAGCTTGTCAGTTGGGACCAAGTCGGTAGCAGAATCTGGGCAGGATAAGGGTCTGCACTAGTAAGAATTCTGTATTCTTAAAC